TAGGGTGACAACGCTCTGTCTCCGTGTCCTAATTGCTCTACTGTGTTGTCACCCTGGCTTTGATGGCAATTCGCATACCGCGGTCCTAAGCATTCCCGTTCATTTTTTCCCTTCTCTTCTTCTTCAATGTTTATAGGGACATGTGCGTTCCGGTGTGTTTTTGGTGCGTTCCGGTGCATTCTTTATGTGTTTTGCCGCATTCCAGGACAGTTCTGTCCAGGAAAAATGCTGCCTGTTCTACTTTTTTTTTCTGCAACCGGAATGCACTGGAGCTGCGAGCGCTGATGTGAACAATGACATTGACAACCATATCACCGACTTTCTGTGCGTTTTGAATGCAGAAAAAAGCAACTGAAACGCATGGAGTGTGAACCGGCCCCAAAGCCGCACACAGACGCGCCCGGCGCAGCGACATGCTCTTGACGGTGGCGCTGTCCCCAGCGGAAGCCATGATTGAAATGTCACGGGTGGGGCGACCTCCACAGGAAAGGCAATAATGACAGGAAATGCGATCATCGCAATAAATATTATCCGTCGCCTCGTTACGCGTTATCAGCCCCGGGACACGGCGACTGCAGATTAGCCAATCAGAGCCGAGCCCCGAATTCTGCGCAGAAACAATGGGCGCCGCGCACACAATGGGCGCCTCTATACATTGTAATAAAGAGATAACTCCCGTCCAAGTCATTTATACAGGGAAAAAAAATTGCGTCAAACAGCGACTGGCTACAAAGACGGCGAGAAGTCTGGACGCAAATCCACGCCAGAAAATGCCGTTTTGTTGAAAATCTGTCCAACTGCGACATTTGTTTTCAATATTTGTACCTTGATGACATTTGGAGAGAATCAAAAATCAAAAATGGCCAAAAGCAGAACAGCGGGAAAAACGTTTTGTGGGGATTTTTCCATCTTGGATACAATAATGAAGGGTTACATCCCTTGTCAGCTATTTTGTCATCTGAGTCCCATTGAGGAGATTTCCCTTCACTTCCTTTCCCATTGAGAAGATTTCCCTTCACTTCCTTTCCCATTGAGGAGATTTCCCTTCACTTCCTTTCCCATTGAGGAGATTTCCCTTTACTTCCCCTTCCATTGAGATGTCCCTTCCTGTCCCACTGAGGAGATTTCCCTTTACTTCCTCTCCCATTGAGAAGATTTCCCTTCACTTCCTGTCCCATTGATTAGATTTCCCTTCACTTCCTGTCCCATTGAGGTGATTTCCCTTCACTTCCTGTCTCATTGAGGAGATTTATCTTCGCTTCTTGTCCCATTAAGGAGATTTACCTTCACTTCCTCTCCCATTATTTCCCTTCCTGTCCCATTGAGGAGATTTCCCTTCTCTTCCTGTGCCACTGAGGAGATTTCCCTTCACTTCCTGTCCCATTGAGATTTCCCTTCCTGTCCCATTGAGATTTCCCTTCACTTCCTGTCCCACTGAGATTTCCCTTTACTTCCCCTCCCATTGAGATTTCCTTTCCCGTCCCATTGAGGAGATTTCCCTTCACTTCCTGTCCCATTGAGATTTCCCTTCACTTCCTGTCCCACTGAGATTTCCCTTTACTTCCCCTCCCATTGAGATTTCCTTTCCCGTCCCATTGAGGAGATTTCCCTTCACTTCCTGTCCCATTGAGATTTACCTTCACTTCCTGTCACATTAAGGAGATATACCTCCACTTCCTCTCCCATTGAGTATTCCCTTCCTGTCCCACTGAGATTTCCCTTCCTGTCCCACTGAGTAGATTTCCCTTCACTTCCTGTCCCATGGCTACAACAGGAAGTGAGGGAATTCCTGGTTGTCACCAGGACTAGTGTCCTTATTGTAAGATTTCTCCTCTATTCCTGTTTGGGGGCAACTTTTTTTTCAGTCTCGGTGATCACCTCATTTCCTGGCTGGAGGATGTCCAGCATCATCTCGCATTTTCCTCCCCGGTCTGACTGTCCCTGGCCCCGCCCCTTTCATTCTTGGATTTCACTTCTTCCAATCATGAAGCCTCAGCATCACATGTAAATCCAGCCTGCCTAGGAACGCCCACTCCTCCAGGCTGACACCCGCCCCGCAAGGCATTTTGATATTTGCATAACTCCTCCTACTGCTTGCGCTCTTGAGAGGAGGACTGAAGCAGGGGGCTGTGATATTTTCAGCATTTGAAGCATAGGGACCCAGTGATGATAACAGGGTCCAAAAAAAGATATGTAGTGAAAACAGAACTTTTTTTTAATATATATATAAGCAGAATAAGGGCCAGTTCACACCACAAAGACCCATCAAAGTGCCCCATCATTGGTGTCAGTGGAGGAATAGTGCCCCATCATTGGTGTCAGTGGGAGGAATAGTGCCCCATCATTGGTGTCAGTGGGAGGAATAGTGCCCCATCATTGGTGTCAGTGGGAGGAATAGTGCCCCATCATTGGTGTTGGTGGGAGGAATAGTGCCCCATCATTGGTGTCAGTGGGAGGAATAGTGCCCCATCATTGGTGTCAGTGGGAGGAATAGTGCCCCATCATTGGTGTCAGTGGAGGAATAGTGCTCCATCATTGGTGTCAGTGGGAGGAATAGTGCCCCATCATTGGTATCAGTGGGAGGAATAGTGCCCCATCATTGGTGTCAGTGGGAGGAATAGTGCCCCATCATTGGTGTCAGTGGGAGGAATAGTGCCCCATCATTGGTGTCAGTGGGAGGAATAGTGCCCCATCATTGGTGTCAGTGGGAGGAATAGTGCCCCATCATTGGTATCAGCGGGAGGAATAGTGCCCCATCATTGGTGTCAGCGGGAGGAATAGTGCCCCATCATTGGTGTCAGCGGGAGGAATAGTGCCCCATCGTTGGTGTCAGTGGGAGGAATAGTGCCCCATCATTGGTGTCAGCGGGAGGAATAGTGCCCCATCGTTGGTGTCAGTGGGAGGAATAGTGCCCAATCATTGGTGTCAGTGGGAGGAATAGTGCCCCGTCATCGGTGTCAGTGGGAGGAATAGTGCCCCATCGTTGGTGTCAGTGGGAGGAATAGTGTCCCGTCATCGGTGTCAGTGGGGGGAATAGTGCCCCATCATTGGTGTCAGTGGGAGGAATAGTGTCCCGTCATTGGTGTCAGTGGGGGGAATAGTGCCCCATCATTGGTGTCAGTGGGAGGAATAGTGCCCCATCATTGGTGTCAGCGGGAGGAATAGTGCCCCATCATCGGTGTCAGTGGGAGGAATAGTGCCCCGTCATTGGTGTCAGTGGGGGGAATAGTGCCCCATCATCGGTGTCAGTGGGAGGAATAGTGCCCCATCGTTGGTGTCAGTGGGAGGAATAGTGCCCCATCATGGGTATCAGTGGGAGGAATAGTGCCCCATCATCGGTGTCAGTGGGAGGAATAGTGCCCCGTCATTGGTGTCAGTGGGAGGAATAGTGTCCCGTCATCGGTGTCAGTGGGAGGAATAGTGTCCCGTCATTGGTGTCAGTGGGGGGAATAGTGCCCCATCATTGGTGTCAGTGGGAGGAATAGTGCCCCATCATTGGTGTCAGTGGGAGGAATAGTGCCCCATCATTGGTGTCAGTGGGAGGAATAGTGCCCCATCATTGGTGTCAGTGGGAGGAATAGTGCCCCATCATTGGTATCAGTGGGAGGAATAGTGCCCCATCATTGGTATCAGTGGGAGGAATAGTGCCCCATCATTGGTGTCAGTGGGAGGAATAGTGCCCCATCATTGGTATCAGTGGGAGGAATAGTGCCACAAGGGCCAGATAAGGACAAGCAAAGGGATGCAGTTTGGAGACCACTGGTCTAGAGCAGGGGTCTCCAAGCTATGGCCCTCCAGATGTTGAAGTACTACAAGTCCCATCATGCCTCTGTCTCTGGGAGTCTTGCCTGTGGCTGTCAGAGTCTTGCAAGGCCTCATGGGACTTGCATTTCCTCAACACCTGGAGGGCCATAGTTTTGAGACCCCGGGTCTAGAGGGTTAAGGTTTAGGGGGTTTGGGGCTTAGGGTTAGCAGTAGAGGGTTTGGAATAGGGGTTAGAGTTAGGGGGTTAGGACTTGGTGGGTTAGGGGGTTAGGACTTGGTGGGTTAGGGGGTTAGGACTTGGTGGGTTAGGGGGTTGGGGCTTAGGAGGGTTTCGGTTTGGAGGGTTGGGGGGTTACGGCTTAGGGTTAGAGTTTGGCCACACCCAACTTCTCTTGCCGCTATTATCCCCACCTCCAATAAATGTGGACATGCTCAGCAGGGTGTCCCTACATTTCATTTTGGAAATCTGGTCACCTGACTCTTGGGAGGTGTAGTTCTGGGTGCGGGTTTCCTGCTACATGAGCAAGGTACATGCAATATGAATCTATGGGGGGGGGGAGAGATTTGGGTCATTTCTGGACGTACACTTCATGGTATCTACAGACAGGAGATGGAGATGGAGCGCCATTGTCTGTAATATCGCAGCGACTGCAGTTTCTAGGGCCTCCTGCGGCAGCGGCTGATCGGCGCAGTAATCAGCTTATTCTACGCAAATAAAATCTATACAATCTTTTCATTGTGTGAAATTTCTGTGAAATGTCGCAAAAGGGATCTTCCTATTTCTGACTCGCATGGAGAGCCGTTCACAGCCGTGCAACTTGGCATGCGACTTTGTGGTCCAAAATTCGCATGACAAGTCACCCCTCCTCTCCCATGTTTCCCAATGGGTACCATTCATATCTGTGCGATTTTAAGTCGCAGCGACTTCAATGTAGTTCCTGCAATACTTTGGTACGACTTTCTGCAACTTGAGTGCCATAGACTGCAATGGAAACCCTCAAAAGTCGCATGAAAGTTGCACCCGAATGTTAAACATGCAACAGTTGTCCATTATCAATCAACCAGAGTTGCATCAAAGTTACAGTAAAGTTGCACCACAGTTGCACTCCAAAGTCGTGCAACTTTGGAGTCGTCCAAGTGTGAACGGAGCACTGCCTGAGGGCCCAGGGTCAGTAGGGGGCCCCATGAGTTGTCAGTCCGCTCCTGCCCAAGAGGTAAAAGTAACACACTGTACCAGGGGCGGACTGACCATTCGGGCACTCGGGCACTGCCCGAGGGCCCGGGGTCAGTAGGGGCCCCATGAAATGCCCCTGGTACCTTTTATAGGCTTTTTTGGGTGTGGTTTGAGTGTGGGTGAGGACACAGGGGCCCCATGATCCCCTATTGCCCGGGGGCCCCATGAGTTGTCAGTCCACCCCTGAACGGAGCTGTAGCACGCCCCAGGAAAGTAATAATAGTTCAATGGCTCGGTAACAGCCAATCACATGGCAGCAACTCAACTCATTTAGGGCGGGCTCACACCATAGAAACGCAGTCCAGATGCGTTTCTGCATGCGCATGTTTTTAAGCATTTTTGGAGCGTTCCGGAAGTGTGTCTACATGCGCATTTTTCTATAGTGTGAACCGGCCCTAAAGGCCCAGATCACACTCCATGCGTTTCAGTTGCTTTTTTTCTGCATCCAAAAAGCACAGAAAGTCGGTGATATGGTTGTCAGTGTCATAGTTCACATCAGCGCTCGCAGTTCCGGTTGCAGAAAAAAAAAGTAGAGCAGGCTGCATTTTTCCTGCTCAGAGCTGTACTGGAATGCGGTAAAACACAACAAAAAAAAAAAAAAACGCACCGGAATGCATATGTGCCTATTTACATTGAAGAGAAAGAGAGGGGAAAAATTAACTGGAATGCACCAAAAACGCATTGGAAAGCACCAAAAATGCGTAAAAAATGCACATGCAGAAACTCATCCGGAATGCATCTGGAAGTGTTTCTATAGTGTGAACCGACCCTAAAGGCCCAGTTCACACTCCATGCGGCTCAGATGCTTTTTTTTTCTGCATCCAAAACACAGAAAGTCGGTGATAGGGTTGTCAGTGCCATAGTTCCCATCAGCGCTCGCAGTTTCGGTGCGTTCCAGATGCAGAAAAAAAAAGTAGAGAAGACTGCACAGAGCTGTACTGGAACGCAGTAAAACGCATCAAAAATGCACTGGAATGCACATGTGCCTAATTAAATTGAAGAGAAAGAGAGAAGGGAAAAAAATGAACTAGAATCCATAAAAACGCATCAGAAACGCGTAAAAAATGTGCATGCAAAAACGCATCTGGAAGACATCTGGACTGCATTTCTATTTCTGCCCTAAAAGGCAGTTCACACTCCATGCATTTCAGTTGATTTTTTTTCTGCATCCAAAACGCACAGAATGTAGGTTACATGGTTGTCAGTGTCATAGTTCACATCAGCACTCGCAGTTTCGGTTGCAGAAAAAAAAAAGTAAAACAGGCTGCATTTTTCTTGCACAGAGCTGTATTGGAACGAGGTAAAATGCATCAAAAACGCACCGGAACGCACATGTGCCTATTTAAATTGAAGAGAAAGAGAGAGGGGAAAAAATTAACTGGAATCCATAAAAACGCACCGGAACGCACCAAAAACACATCAAAAATGCATCTGGAAGACATCTGGACTGGGTTTCTACAGTGTGACTCGGCCCTCAGGACCGGTTCACACTCCATGCGTTTCAGTTGCTTTTCTTTCTGCATCCAAAATGCACAGAAAGTCAGTGATATGGTTGTCAGTGTCATAGTTCACATCAGCGCTTGCAGTTCCGGTGCGTTCCTGATGCAGAAAAAAAAAAAGTACAGCAGACTGCATTTTTCCTGCACAGAGCTGTAGTGGAACGTAGTAAAACACAACAAAAACGCACCGGAACGCACATGTCCCTAAATGAATTGAAAAAAAGAGAGGGGAAAAATGAACTGGAATGCATTATAAAAGCGTCAAAAATGCACATGCAAAAACGCAGCCGGAACGCATCTGGACTGCGTTTCTATAGTGTGACTTGGCCCTTGGGGCCAGTTCACACGCATTTCAGTTGCTTTTTTTTCTGCATCCAAAACGCACAGAAAGTCGGTGATCTGGGTGTCAGTGTCATCGTTCACATCAGCGCTCGCAGTTCCGGATGCAGAAAAAAAAGTAGAACAGGCAGCATTTTTCCTGCACTGGAATGCGGTAAAATGCACCGGAACACACCAAAATCGCACATGTTCCTATTTAAATTGAAGAAAAAGGGGAAAAAAATGAACTGGAATGCAAAGAAATGCACCGGAACACATCAAAAACGCACCACAACGTGTAAAAAAAGCATCAAAAACGTGCATGCAAAAACGCATCCGGAGCACATGTGGACTGCGTTTCTATAGTGTGACTCGGCCCTCAGGACCGGTTCACACTCCATGCGTTTCAGTTGCTTTTCTTTCTGCATCCAAAACGCACAGAAAGTCGGTGATATGGTGGTCAGTGTCATAGGTCACATTGCAGTTCCGGTGCGCTCCGGGTGCAGAAAAAAAAAAAGTAGAGCAGACTGCATTTTTCCTGCACAGAACTGTAGTGGAACGCGGTAAAACGCAACAAAAACGCACCGGAACGCACATGTCCCTATTTAAATTGAAGAGAAAGAGAGAGGGAAAAAAAATGAACTGGAATGGATAAAAACGCATCAAAACGCACCGGAATGCACCAAAAACGCATCTGGAAGACATGTGGACTGCGTTTCTGTAGTGTGATCCGGCCCTGATGCTGTAAAATGAAAAGTCGTGATTGTCTGCGATTCGGCGTGCGTGTCTGGTGCCGGCGGAGGATTCCTGCACTCGGGAGGAGAATTCCACCTGTCAGCAGATTCCAGACCTCTCCCCTCCTTCCCCCCCCCCATCCAGCATCACCTCCTCCAGTGCAGGCGCGGGACCCCCCCCCAACAAGTGACAATCCCCTCCATTATCAGATGCGATCTGCGCTGCCCCCCCCACGCCCCGCGTCTGCACAGAACACCGCCCTGGCCTCTGTCAGCACCGGCATCCATGAGAAAACATCCGATTCCATTCAGGAGAGGAAATCAGCAGAGATTTGGGTGGGGGAAGCGGGGCAGGAAGGAAAGGGGGGGGGGCAGGGGACTGGGGGGGGGAGATAGAGAAGAGACGCAGCACAAGTGCGCAGCGGACAGGCGTCGGAGGCGGCAGGAGCCGTGACAGGTCCTCATAGGGGCGCAGGTGAGTGAGCGGGCCGTCATTTGGTGGGGGGGGGGACACATCGGGGCTGATTTACTAAAGGCAAATAGACGGCGCATTCTGCAAAGTGCAGCTGCTCCAGAGCTTCAAAAAAAATGAGGTGCAAAGAATACCCAATCACAGGCCGGGAGAATAAAAATGGCATTTTTGCTTGCACGTGATTGGACGATGGAAGGCAGCAGGGCTCCCCCTCATTTACTAAGCTCTGGAGCAACTGCAACTTGCAGAGTGCGCCGTCTGCCTTTAGTAAATCAGCCCCGGAGAGCCGCAGAGTAACCGGCAGAGGAAAATCTCCGATTGGTGAGGAATTCTTTCATGAACATGGAATGGGCAGAGAGAGAACAAAATTCTACAGCAGCCAATCAGAGCTCACCTTCCAGCTGTCTATATTACCATGTTCTGGAGGAAACAACTGATAACCAGAAAGATGATTGGAGGATATTCCCGGGACAGAGGAGAGCCAAAGCTGATCGTTCTTACTGTTCAAAGTCGATGTTGGATACTATATACAGAATATATATATATAGAGAGAGACGGACGGAATGTTGGATGGATGGATGGATGCGTGTGCTCTCCCTGTGTGTATGCGTGCTCTCCCTGTGTATATGCGTGCTCTCCCTGTGTGTATGCGTGCTCTCCCTGTGTATATGCGTGCTCTCCCTGTGTGTATGCGTGCTCTCCCTGTGTATGAGTGCTCTCCCTGTGTATGCGTGCTCTCCCTGTGTATATATGTGCTCTCCCTGTGTATGCGTGCTCTCCCTGTGTATATATGTGCTCTCAATGTGTATATGTGCGCTCTCCCTGTGTATATGATATGCACGCTCTCCCTGTGTATATGATATGCGCGCTCTCTCTGTGTATATGGGTGCTCTCCGTGTATATGCGTGCTCTCCCTGTGTGTATGTGCTCTCCCTGTGTATATGCGTGCTCTCCCTGTGTATATGAGTGCTCTCCCTGTGTATGAATGCTCTCCCTGTGTATGCGTGCTCCCTGTGTATATACGTGCTCTCCCTGTGTATATGTGCGCTCTCCCTGTGTATATACGTGCTCTCCCTGTGTATATGTGCGCTCTCCCTGTGTATGCGTGCTCTCCCTGTGTATATGCGTGCTCTCCCTGTGTATATGCGTGCTCTCCCTGTGTATATGCGTGCTCTCCCTGTGTGTTTGCGTGCGCTCCCTGTGTGTATGCGTGCGCTCCCTGTGTATGCGTGCTCTCCCTGTGTATATGAGTGCTCTCCCTGTGTATGAGTGCTCTCCCTGTGTATGCGTGCTCTCCCTGTGTATATATGTGCTCTCCCTGTGTATATGTGCTCTCCCTGTGTGTATGCGTGCGCTCCCTGTGTGTATGCGTGCGCTCCCTGTGTATGCGTGCTCTCCCTGTGTATATGAGTGCTCTCCCTGTGTATATATGTGCTCTCCCTGTGTATATGATATGCACGCTCTCCCTGTGTATATGATATGCGCGCTCTCTCTGTGTATATGGGTGCTCTCCGTGTATATGCGTGCTCTCCCTGTGTATATGCGTGCTCTCCCTGTGTGTATGTGCTCTCCCTGTGTATATGCGTGCTCTCCCTGTGTATATGAGTGCTCTCCCTGTGTATATGTGCTCTCCCTGTGTGTATGAATGCTCTCCCTGTGTATGCGTGCTCTCCCTGTGTATATACGTGCTCTCCCTGTGTATATGTGCGCTCTCCCTGTGTATATACGTGCTCTCCCTGTGTATGCGTGCTCTCCCTGTGTATATGCGTGCTCTCCCTGTGTATATGCATGCTCTCCCTGTGTATATGCGTGCTCTCCCTGTGTGTTTGCGTGCGCTCCCTGTGTGTATGCGTGCGCTCCCTGTGTATGCGTGCTCTCCCTGTGTATATGAGTGCTCTCCCTGTGTATGAGTGCTCTCCCTGTGTATGCGTGCTCTCCCTGTGTATATGAGTGCTCTCCCTGTGTATATATGTGCTCTCCCTGTGTATATGTGCGCTCTCCCTGTGTATATGATATGCACGCTCTCCCTGTGTATATGATATGCGCGCTCTCCCTGTGTATATGGGTGCTCTCCGTGTATATGCGTGCTCTCCCTGTGTATATGCGTGCTCTCCCTGTGTATATGCATGCTCTCCCTGTGTATATGAGTGCTCTCCCTGTGTATATGTGCTCTCCCTGTGTGTATGAATGCTCTCCCTGTGTATGCGTGCTCTCCCTGTGTATATACGTGCTCTCCCTGTGTATATGTGCGCTCTCCCTGTGTATATACGTGCTCTCCCTGTGTATGCGTGCTCTCCCTGTGTATATGAGTGCTCTCCCTGTGTATGCGTGCTCTCCCTGTGTATATACGTGCTCTCCCTGTGTATATGATATGCGCGCTCTCCCTGTGTATATGCGTGCTCTCCCTGTGTGTATGCGTGCTCTCCCTGTGTATATGCGTGCTCTCCCTGTGTATATACGTGCTCTCCCTGTGTATATGCGCGCTCTCCCCTGTGTATATGCGTGCTCTCCCTGTGTATATGAGTGCTCTCCCTGTGTATATGATATGCGCGCTCTCCCTGTGTATATGGGTGCTCTCCCTGTGTATATGATATGCGTGCTCTCCCTGTGTATATGCGTGCTCTCCCTGTGTATATGCGTGCTCTCCCTGTGTATATGAGTGCTCTCCCTGTGTATATGATATGCGTGCTCTCCCTGTGTATATGCGTGCTCTCCCTGTGTATATGAGTGCTCTCCTTGTGTGTGTGCGTACTCTCCCTGTGTATATGCGTGCTCTCCCTGTGTATATGGGTGCTCTCCCTGTGTATATGGGTGCTCTCCCTGTGTATATGGGTGCTCTCCATGTGTATATGGGTGCTCTCCCTGTGTATATGCGTGCTCTCCCTGTGTATATGGGTGCTCTCCCTGTGTATATGATATGCGCGCTCTCCTCTCCCTGTGTATATGGATGCTCTCCGTGTATATGCGTGCTCTCCCTGTGTATATGATATGTGCGCTCTCCTTGTGTATATGGGTGCTCTCCGTGTATATGTGCTCTCCCTGTGTGTATGCGTGCTCTCCCTGTGTATATGTGCTCTCCCTGTGTGTATGCGTGCTCTCCCTGTGTATATGCGTGCTCTCCCTGTGTATATGGGTGCTCTCCGTGTATATGCGTGCTCTCTCCCTGTGTGTATGTGCTCTCCCTGTGTGTATGCGTGCTCTCCCTGTGTGTATGCGTGCTCTCCCTGTGTGTATGCGTGCTCTCCCTGTGTGTATGCGTGCTCTCCCTGTGCATATGCGTGCTCTCCCTGTGCATATGAGTGCTCTCCCTGTGCGTATGCGTGCTCTCCCTGTGCGTATGCGTGCTCTCCCTGTGTATGCGTGCTCTCCCTGTGCGTATGCGTGCTCTCCCTGTGTATATGTGCTCTCCCTGTGCGTATGCGTGTTCTCCCTGTGCGTATGCGTTCTCTCCCTGTGTTTGCGTGCTCTCCCTGTGCGCATGCGTGCGCTCCCTGTGTGTATGTGCCGGTCCTGGCAGTGGCTGTAACCTGGGGGGAAGGTGAGAGCTCGGCTGGAAGTGTCTGAGTCCCACTCCGCGATCGTGTCCCCGCCCCCTCCTGCCTGGACTCCGCCCTTATTTGCCTATTCCCCATTATGGAGCCTCCATCAGAGAAGGGTGACCCCATCAGTTGGCTTTCCATTGGCAGCGGCAGTTTGCCGAGAGTTCCTCTGCTGGGGACAGAGATAAGGAGCTGCTGCCGGATCCAACTTTTCAGCAACTGCGCTCAACAAAACAGCATTTTGGGTGGAGTGAGTTGGCACGCTGTGCAGATCGCTGGCCCCTCAGGGCGGGCGGGTTGTGCCTGTAAACAGCTGCCATGGCAGTCCGCTGACGGCGGCATAAGGACCGCTTACAGTTGGATGGATACAAAGTATCGGAATGTTTCCTTGGAACTGATTGGAATTGTTTGGAGTTTCCTGCCAAAGGATTGCGGTTCTCCTTGTTCACCTTCAGTAAGTGTAGGACTAGTAAGAGTAGGACCTCTACCCTGAACCCAAGGGGGGGGGGGGGGCAAGGCTCCCGACAGGGTCAAGGTTTTCCAACTTAGTCCACCTAGCCAGAAGGCCTGTCCTTGGGGCCAGCCGAAGCCGACCAGTTCAAACTGAGCATCAGAATGGGGGAAGAAAGGGGATTTAAGGGACTTTGAACTAGTTAAAGGGGGCTTCCAGATTCTGATAAGTCCCCTCCCCCCACCACAGCCCAGAGACCCTTGTCCCTATCAACATGGGGACAAGGTGCTTTTGGGTGCCCCAAAGCACCCCCCCATGTTGAGGACATGTGGCCTGGTATGGTTCAGGAGGAGGGGGGTGGCGCTCGCTTGTCCCCCCCCCCTTTCCTTACCTGCCGGGTAAGGGCCTGGTATGGACTTTCGGGGGGGGACCCCCACACCATTTTTTTTAATGTTAGACTGGGAGTTCTGCTCAAAATCTATACCAGACCCGAAGGGCTTGGTATGGATGCAGTAAGGTACAGCTTAGTGAATTGTGCCCAGTGAGCCTCTCATCGGGCCCCCTACTGACCCCGCGGGCCCTCGGGCAATGCCCCAATGGTCAGTCCGCCCTGCGCACAACCATCTCTAGAGAATGGTCCGAAAAGGAGAAAATATCCAGGGGAGCAGCAGTTGTGTGGAGGAAAATGCCTTGTTGAGGTCAGTGGTGAATGGGCAGACTGGTTGGAGATGATAGAAAGGCAACAGGAACTCATGTCCACATGGACCAAAATCTCGGAGGAATGTTTCCAACACCTTGTTGGATCTACGCCACGAAGGATGAAGGGAAAAGGGGGTCCAACCCGGGACTAGCAAGGTGGACCTAATAGAGTACCATAAATCAAAAATGTAGCGCTACAGACCCAAGATATACCAATGAAGACAGATAGGTGATTCATATGAATAAATAAACATAAACATAACAGTTCATAAAAAGGGTGACTTTTGGTGATTTCTTCTCTGTCCTATACTTCTGGTGCTCAGGCGTTGTGCAAAATAGTGCTGAGAGAATGCACACTCACCAGAACGCCCAGGAAAATGAGCGTTTAGTAATTATATATTCCCCTTGGAGACATCAGCCGGTCAGGATAAGATAGTGTGCTAGCCTCCCTCAAGAGCTCCTGTAAGTTACTGTGTGATCCCTCGGTAGGTGGCCTGTGGACTGCTCCTTGGGGACCACATACGTTCCTTACCCAGCGATGGCTGCAAATGAATACTCCCCAAGGGAGTCTTTTCTTTGGCTTCTTAGATTTCGTTTTCTCCTTTTTTTTTCTTCAGCTTCTTCTTCTTACTCACTTCTCCCTCCTTTTTCTTATCTGCAGAAAGTGCTGGCTGGGCTGGAATCTCGTCCTCCTCATCAGAGTCCTCACTGCTTGTGCTGCTCACATCTAACACAATATCTCGCTGTGGGTCCACTCTAAGGAAGTTTCTACACTCAAATGTGAGGTGGCCAGGATATCCACACTTTTTACATCCAGCTCGGATATTGTCCTTGTTTACACCATAGTTCACCTGGCTAAGCAGACATGTGCCCCCAACCCCATCTGAAAGTAGTCAGGCACTCCAGATGTCTCTGCTCCCAGAGACATCTGGAGTGCCTGACTACTTTCAGATGGGGTTGGGGGCACATGTCTGCTTAGCCAGGTGAACTATGGTGTAAACAAGGACAATATCCGAGCTGGATGTAAAAAGTGTGGATATCCTGGCCACCTCACATTTGAGTGTAGAAACTTCCTTAGAGTGGACCCACAGCGAGATATTGTGTTAGATGTGAGCAGCACAAGCAGTGAGGACTCTGATGAGGAGGACGAGATTCCAGCCCAGCCAGCACTTTCTGCAGATAAGAAAAAGGAGGGAGAAGTGAGTAAGAAGAAGCTGAAAAAAAAAAAAAAGGAGAAAACGAAATCTAAGAAGCCAAAGAAAAGACTCCCTTGGGGAGTATTCATTTGCAGCCATCGCTGGGTAAGGAACGTATGTGGTCCCCAAGGAGCAGTCCACAGGCCACCTACCGAGGGATCACACAGTAACTTACAGGAGCTCTTGAGGGAGGCTAGCACACTATCTTATCCTGACCGGCTGATGTCTCCAAGGGGAATATATAATTACTAAACGCTCATTTTCCTGGGCGTTCTGGTGAGTGTGCATTCTCTCAGCACTATTTTGCACAACGCCTGAGCACCAGAAGTATAGGACAGAGAAGAAATCACCAAAAGTCACCCTTTTTATGAACTGTTATGTTTATGTTTATTTATTCATATGAATCACCTATCTGTCTTCATTGGTATATCTTGGGTCTGTAGCGCTACATTTTTGATTTATGGTATTTTAAAGGTGTTTGTTTGGTAACCTGATGTATAGCTGCTGCAATTAGGTGCGCTCGTATACACATTTTTCTGGACCTAATAGAGTGGCTGGTGAGTATATACATCATGTTGCCAAAAGTATTGGGCCGCCGGCCTTTCCACACACATGACCTTTAATGACCCCCCCAGTCTTAGTCCGTAGGGTTCAATATTGAGTTGGCCCCGCCCTTTCCACACACATGACCTTTAATGGTCCCCCAGTCTTAGTCCGTAGGGTTCAATATTGAGTTGGCCCCGCCCTTTCCACGCACATGACCTTTAATGGCCCCCCAGTCTTAGTCCGTAGGGTGCAATATTGAGTTGGCCCCGCCCTTTCCACGCACATGACCTTTAATGGGCCCCCAGTCTTAGTCCGTAGGGTTCAATATTGAGTTGGCCCCGCCCTTTGCAGCTATAACAGCTTCAACTCTTCTGGGAAGGCCGTCCACAAGGTTTAGGAGGGTGTCTATGGGAAGGTTGGACCATTCTTCCAGAAGCACATTTGTCAGGTCAGGCACTGATGTCGGGGGAGGAGGCCTGGCTCGCAATCTCCGCTCTAATTCATCCCAAAGGTGTTCTATGGGGTTGAGGTCAGGACTCTGTGCAGGACAGTCAAGTTCCTCCACCCCAAACTGGCTCCTCCATGTCTTTATGGACCTTGCTTTGTGCACTGGTGCGCAGTCATGTTGGAACAGGAAGGGGCCATCCCCAAACTCTTCCCACAAAGTTGGGAGCATGAAATTGTCCAAAATGTCACCTTAAGAGTTCCCTTCACTGGAACTAGGGGGCCAAGCCCACCCCCTGAAAAACAACCCCACACCATAATCCCCCCTCCACCAAACCTTACACTTGGCACAATGCAGTCAGGTGACTTCTGCGCACTGTGTGCTTCAGGATGAGCTGACCCTGCCCTGTCATGTGACGTGGCCTACCACTTGGTGGCTGTTGTTCCCAGTTGCTTCCACTTTGGTATAATCCCACTAACAGTTGAGCGTGGGAATATTTAGTAGCCAGGAAATGTCACGGATGGACTTATTGCCCAGGTGGCCACCTATCACGGGACCACGCTTGGAGTCACTGAGCTCCTGAGAGCGACCCATTCTTTCACCAATGTTTGTAGAAGCAGTCTGCATGCCTAGGGGCTTGATTGTATACACCTGTGTCCATGGAGGGGATTGGAGCACCTGAATCACATGATTGGGAGGGGATTGGAACACCTGAATCACATGATATGAAGGGGATTGGAACACCTGAATCACATGATTGGGAGGGGATTGGAACACCTGAATCACATGATATGGAGGGGATTGGAACACCTGAATCACATGATATGGAGGGGATTGGAACACCTGAATCACATGATTGGGAGGGGATTGGAACACCTGAATCACATGATATGGAGGGGATTGGAACACCTGAATCACATGATATGGAGGGGATTGGAACACCTGAATCACACGATTGGGAGGAGATTGGAACACCTGAATCCAATGATTGGGAGGGCGGGGCCAATACGTTTGGCAATATAATATATATAAAGTTTTTTTTTTTCAAATCTTTTATTAAAGTCCTACACCCAAACCCCAATGGGATTACAGCACGGGAAGCCAGCTGTGTGTAGGGGAATGTCTTCCCCCAGGATCAGAGCTTTACCCCAATCCTCTTCAGCTTCGACAACCTCCGGACACATTCCCATAGCTGAGTAAATGGTAACACTTCCCCTTTGATATGAGCCGGTCAGATGGTGTCACTCTTGGCTGCAGAGGGTGTCATCGGGCCACCGGCAGACAAGGTCTCCAGGGTCCTACACTTTGGCAGCCTCATTCTCTCTACTAAAGAGTTCTGACTTTTTTTTCTGACTTATTAGGTCACACGCTCTGACATGTTCCCGTGTCTGTAGGTTGGGGGTAGCATAGTAGCCATTGCTCACAATGCAGGTTGATTGGGCACTGTGATCTGCAGCCATGGAATCTGTTGCTGCAGTCGGGACGCGGAGGGAGCACAGAGTGGGGCATTGTATAGGCTCGGCGGTGGCCCCTGGAAGGAACGGTGACAGGTCCTCTTGTGCCATTCCATAGGGTAGTAGCTCATCCCCCGGGGCTGTCGGCATGTGGAGGGAATTGTAGTTCAGGAACAGCTGTGTGGTCAGGGGGGTAATGACGAGGTCAGAGGTCAGGACCGGGTACTTTGATTTAACCGTCCGGGGGCAAAGCAACAACAGAAGATGGAATGTTACCCCTCAGGGCTATTCTTGTGGCACGCAATGGGCGGAGCCTGCATATCGTAATAACAGCCGGAAGGACTTCATCCCATCTACTAGAGACCCTTAAAGAGGACCTGTCATACCGTAACAAGTCCCCAATATATGGCAACAGGACCACTGGGCAGAGGAGATCCACCTGTTATCATTGAAGAGCCGTCCTTCAGCTCCACCCCCATGACTCTGCCTAGGCTGAGATGATGTCATCAGTCCACTGCAGGAAGAAAGAACCATTTCCTCAGTCTCCTCTCCCCAGTGATCAGACTGTACATTGTAACTTTGTAGACGGAGGAGGGAGGCATTTCCTCAGTCTCCCCTCTCCCCCAGTGATCAGACTGTACATTGTAACTTTGTGAAAGGAGGAGGAAGCATTTCCTCAGTCTCCCCTCCCCCAGTGATCAGACTGTACATTGTAATTTGTAGAAGGAGGAGGAGTAATTTCCTCAGTCTCCCCTCCCCCAGTAATCAGACCATAAATTGTAACTTTGTAGAATGAGGAGAAGGCATTTCCTCAGTCTCCCCTCCCCCAGTGATCAGACTGTACATTGTAACTTTGTAGAAGGAGGAGGAGTCATTTCCTCAGTCTCCCCTCCCCCAGTGATCAGACCATACATTGTAACTTTGTAATCAGTCACAAGGTGATATGCTGTAGCAGGGGGCTGATCTGTGTCAGACATTTGTGAACACTACCAAGAACTGCACATTCACCAGGATTTACATAATTGTGTCACCTCAGAGCCAACATCTCAGTCCAGGAAGTAGGTGGTGACCCGGGATGATGCCTGAACAAAGATGGCGCCGTCCTTCTGGAGAGATAAGCAAATGAGGGCAAAGTCAATGGGAGTCCTGTGATCTCTATGAGAGGTAATACATTACTGAACAGGTCACATGAACTCATTACTGAGCATGCTCCACTCAATAGGAAACCATAGATGACAGGTCCACTTCATAGAAGAGCTCTGCTCAGACCAAACCTGGCAAATCAGTCTGCAGGACTTGTCACGCTTTACATATATATTGTACATTCACATCAGTCCCCCCGCCCCCGAGGAGCGCACAATCTAAGGTCCCTAACTCACATTCATACAGACATATACTAGGGACAATTTAGACAGGAGCCAATTCACCTACCAGCATGTCTTTGGAGTGTGGGAGGAAACCCACGCAGACACAGGGAGCACATGCAAACTCCAGGCAGGAGGTGCCCGTGGTTGGGATTTGAACCAATGACCCGAGTACTGCCAGGTGGAAGTGCTAACCATTTAGCTCCTGCGCTGCCCGTCAGTCAGTTTGCTGCATTGTAGGTTCCAGTAAATCACTTGCATTGGGTCTGCAGCCATCTGTCCCATTCCGTGCTGGTGACTGCGCCGGGGCTTTGTGCTCACAGATGTATCACGGCGTTCCCTTTGTTGTGTCTGTGTCCCCACTGTGTGCCGAGAGCAGACGGGGCAGATGGCAGAGGCCGGGGGTGGGGGGGCCACATTGTACGGGGATTCTGCACATAGCACAGGCATGTTCAGAGCGATGACAAGGCGACTTACCGGGGGAGGGCGATCACCACGACTCTGTATAGAGGATGAAGGAAAGTTTACAGCTTGAAATGTGACAAAACGGGAAGAAAGGGATTTGGATGAGTTCATCATCATCATCGTCCTCATCATCATCATCATCATCATCATCATCATTATCATCATCATTATTATCAAATTATAAATAGGTGAACACAAAGAAAAATTATGACCAAGTAGTTTAGCTGAGTCTCCTATATTATTATTATTATATTGTCCAGAATCTGTACTTATATTCTTATTATATCCGTACATTATCAATAATAATAATAATAGACTCTGGATAATATGATATTGATAATAATATGAAAATCTCAGCTATTTAATTAAATTTAACAATTTACAATTATATTATTATTATTATTATTATTATTAATAATAATAATAATAATAATAATAATAATAATAATGGTTTTAAATTGTTAAATGTAATTAAATAGCTGACTTTATATTATTATTAATAATAATAATAATAATAATAATAATAGACTCTGGATAATATGATATTGATAATAATATGAAAATCTCAGCTATTTAATTAAATTTAACAATTTACAATTATTATTATTATTATTATTATTATTAATAATAATAATAATAATAATAATAATAATAATAATGGTTTTAAATTGTTAAATGTAATTAAATAGCTGACTTTATATTATTATTAATAATAATAATAAAAATAATAATAATAATAATAATAATAGACTCTGGATAATACAGTGGGGATCGAAAGTTTGGGCACCCCAGCTAAAAATTTGTATTAATGTGCATAAAGAAGCCAAGGAAAGATGGAAAAATCTCCAAAAGGCATCAAATTACAGATTAGACATTCTTATAATATGTCAACAAAAGTTAGATTTTATTTCCATCATTTACACTTTCAAAATAACAGAAAACAAAAAAATGGCGTCTGCAAAAGTTTGGGCCCCCCTG